TCCCAACCCACACCACTTTAAGAAACCTATTCTCAAAGCTATTTCAAGTCCCTCATGAGCTGCTATCACACCGTTTTGCCCTGGGCAAAAGCACCTCAGAGATTCCCCCACCTCAAACTGATCTTTATTTTAAGAGTTGTGAACAGTTGGAATCCCAGCACCTCTGTCAACTCCCTGTAAAAACTTAATTCCCCAGCTTTAAGGGGAAAAACTATTTTCATTTAGCTCTGCATGGATCATCCATGGGAGACGTATATAGTGGGGGACCACCTGCATGCACTGGTGGTATTTCTTCCTTCCAAGCACTGACATGAATGACATTTGACTTTTATGGAGTGAAAAAAGGAATAGAGAATATAAGGGAGATATGGCAATAGATAAATGCTGGAATGCCTAATTAGATAGTGGCAAGTTTAAGCAGAGGAGGCGCAAACTCCTGGCCTGAGTTACAAATTTCAACAAACTGTCTTTGTTTATGCCAGGGACATCTATAGGGGAACACACAGTCCAGGTCCTCTGCCACCAGCTTGTCTTGCACATTATCAACTAAGCAGATACTTCATATAGCCTTTTAACTTCATGTAACCTTCTATTTTGGGGTAGTATAGGGCACTTATGGACACTTTGAAAATCAGCAATGCAGATGGCACTTAACTCCTGAAGCCAACATAAGCCATATTGCTGTTTTCAAACAGCTATTCCTGGCTTCAGGTTGTTAGAACTGCCAATTTAAGTAGCATTTTCTACACCTGCTGATGTAGATGCAGATACAGACCTCATATTGCATGGTTCAAAGAATAAGAAAAACCCAACTGAATACGATCCGAGTTTTAGACTGCACAGAACCAAAAAGATGAAGCTACACAGTGACTGAGTTTTGTGGAAAAGCTTTTATGGACACAAATGTTTGCAATTAAAGAATTCAAAGAAAACAGATTTTGTTTGGATGTAAACATTCTCCTGCTACCCTGGAAATACTAACACAGCAACACTGCAATGAGACATTGCAAGAAGAAAGTGTTCTGTAAAGAAAGAGCAACAACCACCAAAAAAGGTAGAAGCACTTCTTGAATTATTTCAAGTTTGTAATTATGTAAGCTATTGTAAACATGTTCCTGCTTTTTAAATCTCGCCTGCCAGTTAGCTGATAGCCCAGCAAACTGCCAGACTGCAAAGATACTGACTGGTTTTGACAAGAATTCCAAGGGGGAAAAATAAAAAAGAACCAAAAAACCCCCAAAACAACAAAACCAAAACCCAAATAAAAAAAAAATAATTAAAAAAAGTGCTGGATCCAGATTATTTGACTAAAAAATTATGTGCTGTATTAGGCTGGACTAACACACACTGAACCTTGTGATAAGGTAAAAGTCAAGCCTGACTGCCAAAACAAGAGGGGAAAAGTAAGATCTAGGTTTTATTATTATTCCAGCTGGGTTTTCAGGGACATAATCTCTTTGTAGGAAGAACTGCCAAAAGCACTCCCACAGATACAATCAATTGTTGCAGTCCCTGTTAAGCATATGACTTAAAATAATCAGTCTGATAACTTCACTAAGCAACATTTCCACAAACATCTAGGCTGTTAGCACTGACTCACATCCCTCACCTCGATGGTTACAACAGTCTCTGGGCTTTTGGTTTTGATTTTTATCACAGGGGTAGACAGACCTGCTGCCAGCGCTACCAGCTTCTCAGAAACACACAAGCCTTGCAGGCAGCCAGGGAGTCTCCCACGTGCACTCCATCCAGCCACGCTTAAGACACAAACTGGCTTTCTTCATGCTTGTCCATACCAACTTGGCAGAACTACCTACGCAGGGGTGACAGGCTCCGTACATACAGGCAATCCGGTCAGACGCTGCTTGATCCCATGGCTGGCCCTCAGGACACGCTTGCTGCGTTCACCAGATTTTTATGAAGAAGAAAACAAGTAGGTGAGATGATGGGAGAAAGAGGAAGATGGGAAAGCAACATTTAAATCGCAACTCACATCAACTAACTGACAAGATCTCATCAGAGCTCAGAAGTAACAATTTTGCTCAACTGCAGTTGGCTTTTTTTCTCAACTTGCAAAAGGCTACCCCACATGCAACATGTTCTGCTGTCATCTTACCTTTAAAGATACATCATTACACTAGTAAGGCCAGAAGAGTAAGTACTAACATCACCTCATTCTTTTCACATGCTCCAAATATCTCAACTAACTGCTGCATGGGTGGAAGTTAGAAATCCTGTTTAATTGACTCTATTCTTGCTAAAACTCAACTTTAAACTCCCCAGCCAGTATTTTAGTCTCATCCCCAAGTTGCAACACATTTTGTGCTGTCAGTCACAATGTGGTGGTTTTAATTTGTTCCTTGTAATAACAATGCATATTGATACAGAACATAAAAAAAACACATCTGTGGGAAAAAAAAAAGTTAGAAATCCCTAAAAATAAACTTATCTGAAATTACTCCCCAGAAATACATGCTACTTAATTCTAGTCAATTGACAGGAAACTTTTTTCTGTGAGATGCTGGTCCTCCCAGTCCCCACACATTTTACGAATATTCACAACTGGAAATGCCATCAGTCTTGGCGGAAATCTTTGCTGCAGCTTTGTTGCAGCTAATAGGACTTATAGAAATAGCATAAAAGAAAAATAAAATTCCTGTGTATCACAGATTTCCACTGCAGATCATAGTTACTGAAAGAGTAACGGAACCATGGTTCATTTTAGTGCTAAGCCTCTCATCAACTGCGTGCTCTATCTTCACTATCTTCACACATCACTTAGTTAAAGGGTTATCCTTAATATCTGCTTTCAGAGAGCAGGCATCTTCAGTATCTCCATGCTGCCTGCCATGCAAATGACAGCAAGTTTAGTTTATAATCACCAAAATAAATCTACTCATAAACCAGAGATGAACAGAAGATATGCAATTCACCACCTTCTCAACACAGGCAGCACACTGACTCAACAAGGACAAGGCAACATCAGGAGCTGTACAGGCGAGTCAGCTGGCGTCAAGGACATATGCAAACCCATGCAGTAACTAACTGCTGAAATTTGAAGAAATCCATTAAAGTCCAACACTTCTAATGAGAAACTAATGGACAAACAAATTTCATGCATTAGCTTACAGCACAGTGATCAGGAGGAAAGCACATGTGCAACAATAAACCCCAAAGGGTGCACAAGTACTACAGTGAAAACTACTGGGTGGCTCCAAGACAGCGACAGAGGCCAAGTTTATGAAAAACAAAAAAGAAGGGAGGCGGAAGGCAGGGGGATGACACCCACTTGTCATAAAGACACCACTGCTAGTAATTTGAAAGGGAAGTTTCACTGCAAAAGCAGGCAGCAATTTTAAGGCAGCCACTGACACTAGAGAGCAAGGCAGAGCCCTCGGCAATTGTCTACAGCAGATGCAGAAGACAGGGTGGTCCAACCCTGCACCAGTAGCAACCAGGAAACAGGGTGGTGACAAGAGTGCCAGGAAGGGCACCAGACTGAAGGCTGGAGAGAGTAACAAACAAACCCAACAAATTCTTGGCAGAAGGACTCGGCAGAGAACACTAGGAAGTGTTTCAGACTCCAGCTGGGTATGATGCTCCCAAATAGGACAAGAAAAACAAAACTGCTGCTGCTTCGCTGCTCTGAGTCAGTAGGTTAAGACCCACGCTTGTGCAATTCATCAGAAGGACTGAGGAAACCAACATCGGCTCATCCTTCCTCATTCCACACCCCCCTCTCCCCAAATCCTGCTACTATCCCAGCACTTCCTCAAGAGGAGATGCCTGCAGTGGTCCATGTGTAGCAATGATGGTGAAGAAACAGCAAGGACCAGTGAGTAACAGGAGCTCCAATTTCTGAAGAAAACAGGACAAAGGAAGAATGTCATGTGTGATCTGATCGTTGAGCTTAAGCCCCTTCTCGAAAATGAAAGGTAACTTGTAATGCCATCTGTAAAAGTATTCTGTGTTCTACTGTACTGAATGCAGGTATCTCAGCATCCACTGGATCAGAGTCCCAGTCTGGAGGCCATGAAAGTACTAGTACTTCAGTACAGCAGCTATTTAATTTTCAGTCAGATCAAGGCCTGATACCTACAGTTGTCTCCACAACTGTCAAAGATGAATACACTACAACAACTACACTTGCAACATTATCAAGCACTTCTGCAAAATATCAAAAGCAAATTTCAAAGGCTGTTTTTCTGATGATAGTTAAGATTTGGTTGTGCTTTAACAACTGAAACCCAGAAATTTTGCAAAAAGTCAGGCGGTGGAAAGAAGTGTTTACAAAAGGGGAAGTCGCAATGTAAGAACAAGGGAGGGGAAAAAAAGCTAAGATTAAGAACAGCATTTATATATAAAAATTTATTTAGGTGATGTCACAAACAGTTTAATTATCAATTTACAAACACTTCGTGTTATGCATATCACTGAAACTATCGAGAAAGGAAAGGAGAGCAGGTAACGGCAGCTTTTTCCTGAAACAACTAAAGGTGTACCCTTACCATCATGCGTGTTACTGGATCATAGTATTACCTTGACCATACTCCCTAGTATACAAGGGAAAAAGAAAAGAAAACAAAATACTGAGATGTAGAATGATTAAACCATGAACCAGTGAATGCGATTTTCATGAACATTAGACTACGAAGGTCTAGTCTGATGCTCAGGATCTTAAGTGTTCTATGAGGATAAAAACAGAGAACAATTCAGGTAAATTACCCTATTTTGTAATGCACAATTGGGTTATAACCAATTTCTGGCAATGACAGCAATGGTTAATGCATTTTTCCGAGAAGTATGGAGAGGCAATATTGAGCCTCGCAGAATAGTTCTGTTGACAACCTGAGTTATTTTACCAAGTGTATGACACTGCTTCAAGTCAAATATACATTTATGTTGCAGATATTCTCAATGAAATGGTAAAAGTAACAGCTGTAACAAGACAAGTTATGATTTATTACTTTTTTTAAACAAATATAGTACATAGGTTTTTGAAGTGTCCGGTTGTGATCTGCAAAGATCCAGGATTGCACACCAAGTTTGCTCATATAAGAAGGGTTAATCTGCGCATTGAATTGGCTTATACTTTCAAAGTAGTATTTTAGGGCAGGATTCTCCTCCGGGAGACTGTTCCTGACCTCATTCAACCAATGTTCAATTTATTCACCTTCCTGAATCTTTGCCCTCTTTGGATAGTCTGTGACAAGTGCTGCGCTGCAGGAATTCCTGTTTTCCAGCAAACTGGCTTGCTCTGCAGGTTTGTAGTCCATTGTTACAATTGCTGATTGGGTAAAATGAATTTCCTACGTCTTCTCTAGCACAGCTTGCAACGCAACAGAGGCAGAGGTAAAAGAATGCACTAGTATACCAGAGCTCCACTTAAACACCAACGGAGTCAGGCTGTTGGCACCAATAAAAAATTCTGTATTTAACAAATCTGCAGGTATTTAAGATCCAAAGTTAGCCACTTCTATAAATAAACTCACCCAGTTAGTGTGACTGCCATCCCAACTGGCCTTCTGTTTTCATGGAGTCTGGGGGAAAAAAATAAAAAAAAAAAAAAAAATAGAGAATTGTCTGAAGTTATACATACAGACATAAATTTGCGGGAATGAATCTCAGCCATCCTACACATGCACCAATTATTGCACTCAAACTAAAACCAGGGTTTTCACTTTGTTCTTTCTGCGTAAAGCAAAGTTACAGCTCTTCACTGGGGCCTTACAAAAGACAGTTAGCTACAAACACCACACTTTGTTTTCACTGGTTAACCTTCCTGGAACTGCAGAACCAGAGACAGGGGCACTACATCAAGCTGAAATTTAAGGAGCCTTCAAGTGAGGGGGGGAAATTAAACCCAGTCAGGCTGCCTAACACTATCCTTTGAAATTACAAAAACAAATTGAGTTCCATCAAACAATCTGGAAGAAAAAGTTTTTGTAAAACACCTCCTCTTCCTCTCAACAGCATGAATGTGGAAAAGCTTAGGTTCTGGCCAAAGCCGTAAACCCATAAAATGCTCTTCTCTCCCATTTTAATTCTCTGATTCTTTTTCTCAAATGTGAACCCATGTCTTACTTCCCTGAAGTAGTTTTACACAGCATAATTAGGGCTTGCAAGGAGCTGGGGAGGTCCTGGGGAAACCCACAGGACACCTCCAAGAGAATAACATTTCCTTGCTGCTGCCTTGCCAATAATAAACTAGGCCTCATCTATGTTTAACAGTTGCTCAAACCATTATTTCGGTTTTTAAACAGTTATAAGTGACTGATTGCTACCAATTAAAAACTGCCCTAATAATAGGACGGTGGTTGAACCCACACTAAACTCCACATCTTTCACTTTTGCTTTTCATTGTGCTGCTAAAGCATTACTGTTTTACAAACATTAAACTTCCAGTATTTTGAGTTATTTAATTAAAATAAACATGTTGAGTTTGCCTTTATACAATTTCTGAGAAAAAATATCAACACCACTGCCAAAAATCAACTAGGAAGTTTCCATGAAACCAAAAGGGATCGAGACTTCTGGTGCCTTAGCAGACAACAGCACAAAGCTCTGCACTGACAGACCGACTGCTGTGGAAGAAGTTACAAGCCTGGATAACATGACAAGCTGAAGATCCAGTCTCAGGTGAGAGGAAAGCTACAAGCCATCACCCATCTGGCGCTCACAAAAGATCCATAGCAAAACAAGAACTGAGCTGTTGTTCTTGGGAACGGAGAAATCTAAACAGAGATATCAGAAAAAAAGTTGCATAAATCCAGAGCACCAACCACAGAAGGCCACAAGGCCTGCACTGGGACTGTTTATCTCTGTTACTGCCTGGTGTTTGCTCCCTTGCTTTGTTGCAGGTTGGCCCAGAGAAGACACTGTTGCAAAGTCAGGATTTGGTGCGACAAATGTGTCCAGAGTCCCTGAAAAAGGGTTCTCCCATTCCAGGTCAGGCTAACAGAGACGAACAATTTAGCCACTCCTCTGCACTGGCAATCCCCAGAAAGCACAGCATCTGATGAGCTAGCAAAAACCCCTCACGAATGCAAAGGTTCACCCTACAGAACCAAAAAAAATTGTTCAGAAATAAATATAGCCGGTATAACAGAATCTCCCTACTGTCATTCAGCTGCCATGAAACTCAGCATTTGGCATTTTCTGTGCTGGGGATTTCAGAGACTATAGTCACCAGTTTAAGAGAAGCAGCACAACCCCTAAATATAGGCAGGCAACCTTTCGCAGCCAGGGAGCTCACTGTCACAGCTCAGGCTACGGAGAGGGTGGATCTGCCCGTGTACCAACTCAGTGACACTCAATGCCTACACTGAAAGCAAAACCTTAACATACACAAAATCTTTCCTAGTTTCCCTCATCACACCCACCACTCTTCCCCACAAAACAGGCCAGAATATGCGAATTAAATCTGCAAATCACAGGGAATCTGCAAGCTGTGGCCATTCACATTTAAGTTCATCTTTATTCATATCAATATTTCTGGCCTCCCACACAGCCTGCAACTGCCACATGCTCCTGTAGTAACAGGAGGGTCTGTGCTCTTTGTCTTACATGCAGATAACTGTATTGCTGAGGTTGTAAATCCTTTTAAGACAATTGAGAGGAAAAAACAAAACAAAGCACCCTTCTAATGTCTTAAGGAAAACGCAATTATATACCAGGGGAGGGAATCAGCAGGGTTACCAATTCCTGGTGGCCAGAGCAATATATGCTACAAACAATTATTTTGCTGAGAGCACGCTTTTTTTTCCTCCAGCAGCGCCCACACCTCCCACAGTGGCCAGCTGGACACCCGTGCAGCCCCATGCCTTGCCGGCTGACACTGTGACCCACCATAACTATGTAAGCACCATGGTTCGCATGAGCACAGGGTCAGCGCCATGACATGCGAGCTGCTGACCAACTCAAGGATGCCTCAACCACCCCCTTCTCCTCTTCCCCTCCGAGGGGGCACAGCGCCCAGCCTGGGCAGTGGGAAACACGCGGCCGCCGGCCTGTCACACCTGGCTTTTCTCCTCCTGCTTGGGGCTCTGTGACGGTGCTGGTGGTGGTGGTGGTGCCGGTGCCGGCGAGGCCTGTGTCTCGACCTCAGCACGGGGGTGCCTGTGGACGAGCGACTTGAGGGGTGCCATCCACTTCATCCACAGGTCGAGGTCGACGTCGCCCCAAGGCAGGTTGGGGTCCTTGGCCGCCCGCCGCCGAAAGTCCTCGTCGTAGTTCATCCACGAGGTGCCCCCGTAGGTGGCATGCAGCTTGCGGATGGTGTCCAGGTACTTGAACATGGCTCCGCAGCGCGCAGGGTGCTTCTCGCACAGCACGCTGGCGTACACCAAGAAGGCCGAGACCCACTGGTCCAGCGTGTCCCCCGGGCGCGGGCCGTGCTCGGGGGCCAGCTCTGTGTG